ACACCTGCTCCCATCACAACTACACCTGCTCCCATCACAACTACAGCTGCTCCCATCACAACTACAGCTGCTCCTATCATTACTACAGCTGCTCCTATCATTACTACAGCTGCTCCCATCACAACTACAGCTGCTCCCATCACAACTACAGCTGCTCTCATCACAACTACAGCTGCTGCCATCACAACTACAGCTGCTCCCACCACAACTACAGCTGCTCCCACCACAACTACAGCTGCTCCCACCACAACTACAGCTGCTGCCATCACAACTACAGCTGCTGCCATCACAACTACAGCTGCTGCCATCACAACTACAGCTGCTGACATCACAACTACAGCTGCTCCCACCACAACTACAGCTGCTCCCATCACAACTACAGCTGCTCCCATCACAACTACACCTGCTCTCATCACAACTACAGCTGCTGCCATCACAACTACAGCTGCTGCCATCACAACTACAGCTGCTCCCACCACAACTACAGCTGCTCCCATCACAACTACAGCTGCTGCCATCACAACTACAGCTGCTCCCATCACAACTACACCTGCTCTCATCACAACTACAGCTGCTGCCATCACAACTACAGCTGCTCCCACCACAACTACAGCTGCTCCCACCACAACTACACCTTCTCCCACAACTACATCTGCTCCAACAACAAGTACAGCTGTTCCAACAACTACAGCTGCTCCAACCACAACTACAGCTGCTCCAACAACAACTACAGTTGCTCCAACAACAGCTACAACTGCTCCAACAACAACTACAGCTGCTCCATCAACAACTACAGCTTCTCCAACAACTACAGTTGCTCAAACAGCAGATAAAATTGAGACAACAACATACCTAAATGCTCTAACATCAAACACAACTGCTTTTTCAACAACAATAGCTAACATAGAAGCACCTACAGCTTTTACCATTCCTAACATCACTGCAACAACGACACCTGAACCTATTTTTCAAGCCTATACTGTTGCAGCTGTTATTTTACAGCCCTTTAATGATCAACTCAATGACCGTAACAGCAAATCATTCCAAGATCTTTCTAAAAGAGTTTGTGCCACGGTATGTTTTATTTTGACAGATTCTTGTTAAGTTGTGTACTTGAGCTTTGTTTATTTATTTTTTTACATACTTCTCTGATTTTTTTAGTCTAATGTTTGCTTTTCTTGTTTTCCACAGTATGATGACATCTACCTTTCTAAATACCGTCAGACCTACATGGGTTGCATTGTCATTTCATTCAGGTAGTTTTACTACCAATGCTCATTTAGTTTGTTTTTTGTTTTCATTTTTGGCATATATTTTGTTCTTCATTTTTAAATCTGTTATTATGTATTTCCTGTAGTCCAGTCATAATACGATTGAATGGTACTGAAGCAAACGTGACCATGACGTTTAATAAAACCACACCAGCTGTCCAAATCCCAACAGCTGCAGATGTTCAACAAACCTTATTAGATGC